AATGCACTTCGAGACTTTTTTAAAAATTTGTCCATATCATAAAAAGAAGAGGAAAAAGATGAAAGTTTACTACCATCAGAGCGGCTGCACAACTCTGTGAGAGGAGACAAAATGAACAAATATTACTCATAAAAAGGTGAAATAAGACACAGGATTGTGTGTGTGTGTTATTTCTTCTTCTTGTTATCTACCTTGCACATACTGCTCCACCATGACAGGAACCAGGCCACACTTCCCAGCCGTAAACACCTGACCTCCATCCACGGCCACTGCGTCGGCCTCTTTACGCTGCGGGGCGATTCAAAGCAGAGATGAATGTCACAGAGTGGAGACAAAAAATAATAAATTAACAGATTTCGATATTTCCTCCAGAGTTTACCATAATCTTCTTCAGGCACTCTTCAACTGTAGGGGCGCTCTGGCATTCAATGGAGGTGGTGTCCCCAGACACACTGCTGATGCTCCACGTGTCACACTTTGCGGTCTCAGCATGGCCCACAGCACACCATCTGATGGCAGGGGATGCATCGTCTGATGCCTGCTCTAGAGAGGGAAGAAAGACTTAGACATAAGCCAGACTGACACCTGACTAACAATTGCGTTTCGGCCTGTCTTGCTTGTGTTCTTTACCTTTTTTAAGGGAATGGACGATGCTCATGTAGTTAGCACCCAGATACAGGAAGGAGTCTGTGTTTGGGGGCACCCTCAAGAGCCTCACTGTTGAATCTTTGAACATCAGGTTCTTGGCGGGTGCGTAGGCTTCAGATGAGAAGAGGTTAAAGCTCTGAAAAGGCAGCAAGTGAGATGATTCATTAGGAAAGCAATGAGGCTGCTGAAACACAAGGAATCAGAAAACGCTGAAATTAGATGTTATTCAGTGTACTTCCTACGTGGTCAGTCTGAACTTGGTCAAGGCTCTGCCAGATCAAGTCGGCCAGCTGTGGATCCTTGCGAGTAACAACAGCGTGAGCTGGCACTCTGGCTAGGGAGCAGGCTTTATAGTTGTCAATAGGTGCTCTGGTGTTGTCCTTGCACAGCAGCTCATACGATGGCTTATCCAATTCTGGAAGTGTGATATGACACAGGTTTTACATCAGTGTTTTTCACAGTTATCCTTTCCCATATTTTGTAGAAGTTTCAGGGCGTTTAAGACGATTTTAATCAATGGAGAAAATGACATTCTTGGTCAACGTGATTGCTCTGAAATTTGCTTTGAAATTCTGCTCGACTTGTCCTTGACTTGTGCAGTGTGCAACAGTTGTATTTGTATGTCATGCATGTTCATCAGGTCCCCTCTTGTCCCTGTCGCTTTTCAAAATGAAACTTTTAATCTTGGTAAAGCTTTTTTTTTTTTTTTGATAAATAAAACCTGACAATGCTATGATTCAGTGCTTCTTTACATGTTAGAATGGATAAAGGCTGTTGTGATACTGACCTGGCACAGTGAGATGCTTCACAAAAGCCACATCTCCAGCTCCCTCCACCAAACACCTGTCACAAAAGTCATATTAATACAGATAAAAGGTTCGGCTAAATGTGTAGACGTTTATGTTCACTAATGAGAAGCATTAAAAAGTGGACACTGACTGAAAGGCTCCATTGTAGTCATAGTAAGGCTCCCTCTGGGACCTGGAGCAGTCTCCCTTGCACAGTTCACACAGCTTGCTGCCTCTTGCTGCCCCAGGGGCACAGCTGGCATGGAAGAAGGTGCTCACAGCTGCATAACAAAAAACAAGGCCAGGGTCATAATTTAGAAAAGAAAACCAAAACACTGACAATAGAGCCAGAGTGTCACCACTGTCTCCCTTTAAAGACAAATATGAAAGTTCCCATTGCATTTTTATCATTTAGAAGTTTCATATTATACTGTGTGTGCAGAGTTTGCATCCCCCTGCATACACCAGTTTCTTTCATGTTAGGTTAATTGTCAATTCTAAACTGACCATATGTACGAATGTGAGTGTGGGTGGTTTTCCTGTCTTTTTCTGGCCCCTAACAGACTGGCAACCTTTCCCGCCTCTCACCCTGAGAGCCAGGCTCCAGCCCCTGTGATCTGGAATTGGTTAAGAAGAAGATGGATGGATATTGATTTGTTCAACTGTCTAACAGGCCTAACTAGTCTAAACAGACTAGTTTTTGAACTTCAGTAAATTATATTTAACAAAAGGAAGTGTTATAAGTGATAAGAAGTGCTGACAGGCACAGGATTTTATAATCCCTGGGCAGAAGCCAGGTCTCTCTTGGAAATGAGATTTTTAATCTCAATGAGATTTTTTTCCCTGGTTAAATAAAGGACTAATAAAAAAAGAAGCTAGTTAGCCCCTGTCTGTTTCTACTTTTCCTGTAGTTTTGATCCCGTCAATAAATTCTTGTCAGTAAAGCAAATAAGTGTGTTATTTGTTTCTCAGGTGTCCAGTTTCTCATTAAAAGGTCTGATCTTATTGTCCTTTGACCATACATGCACTAAAACTGTCAAATGTTATTAGCTAACCAGAAACGAAAAGTCCTTTACCCTCCTCCAGAGGTTTGTCTTCAATGCCACCCCACTCAATAACATTCATGGTCACCAGAGATCCTATGGGAATGTTCCAGCCTGCAGATTTCCCCAAACCAGTGTGACATGATTTCTTCCCCCCGAGATCTCTGAAGCCAAATCCAGTGTTCTTCTTTGCCACAGCAACAGCATAATAGCAGGTATCCGTACCTGAATGAAAAAAAAAAAATGGATATAATATTATTGAAACAGCTAAATCACATTCAAATAAAACGCTAAACATGTTCTTGCTTGAGCTTATTTCATTAGGCTACTAATGACAGCTGATGACTAGACATACCGGCGCCATAGTCCTCAGCAATGATGGGATGGAGGTCATAGTTGTTCAAGCCAGCAGTGTAAATGTCCCCACCATCCACAGTAATGGCATCTGCTTCACCAGCCTGCCGGAGAGTATTTGTTGTATGACTGAGGTCAAGTCATTTTTACATAGAATTTCACTGGATAAGTTGAAGGCATTGGTAGTAGGGGGGAGGAGGGAGTTATTCATCCTCAGCAAACATGATGCAATCATTTTGAGTAAAGTGAGTAAAGCTGAAATATATAAAATCAAATGTTTATTTAATGAGCTAAATAATCATCAAGGAAAATGTGCTTGGTATAAACTGAATCCATGCCAATCAAATAAATTTTATTTGACAAGCTTCCATTAAATGTAACATTTAAATTGTATTTATGTAACCAAATGAAATTGAATATTTAGATGCAATTGAAATAGTTAAAGTCAAATCATTTGGTTCGGATTTTATTTTTTAATTTTTTAACTCTACCCCATTTTTCTAGAACACTCCACAGCAGATACAGTTAGTTTATCTTTACTTTAGATATGTTTTAGTAGTAGTTCGAGTATGAACCTACTCGAAGAAAGTGAAGAAAAAAAACAATAAAATGAAGTCATTACATTCACTTATTTTTATTTAAGTAACATTTCAGAATGAGCCGAGCACTGTGAAGCACTTCAGTTACATTGCGTTTATAACAACCGCCCTGGTCAAAGTCTATTATTGAGTATTTGTGGTTAATTTGGTGCTCTGGATGTAAAAAGCGCTCACCTTAATGGCAATAATGCACTCGAGGGTGTTTTCTTTTTTCACACAGGAGAACGCAGGAGCCGCAGCGGCGAGATCTAAACATTTACGCAATTCTTGGTCCGACTTGACGCACCATTTCACCTTCTGAGAGCCGGGTCGGGCGAACGCGCTGGCTGTTAAAACACATGGATGTCAGTTTGGATTGAAAATGTGATGTCATGTGTGTGATTAAATATAGTAGTGCGGGGCTGAAAAGCTTTTACCGAGCAGTCCGAGCAGCGCCACTAGGAGGAGGGGCTTCATGTTGGGCGGTGGGGTCTCCGGATCAGCAGAGCAGAGAGACTGGGAGGCTGCTCGGGCTTTTATAGCAAACCTGAGTGGACCGGGACAAAAGATAAAAATGCCAGAGTTTGCTCAGGTTTCCTAATGTGTGCGCGTGTGGGGGCGCACGTGTGTACTTTAGTGTGCAAAAGACAGAGATTAGGTTTCATGGACAATCTGAAATTGCCACATAATACGAAATAACATTTAGTCATCTGAAACAGTTTGTTTGCACAATTTGAAATCAGAAATATTTAGAGATTAGCATATTTAGGATACACGTGCAGGACCAAACATCTTTGTTTTCAGGTGGGTTAAAGGTTTGGTCAGAGGACAAAACATTCTGCAGCACAGAGTTTAAACTACATTTAAGAGTAAAAAAACAAAACAATAACAAAAACCCCTGGAGTTTTTACTGCAGTAAAGCATTCTGGTCTCAGGACTAACCAGCCACGTGAAAAGGATTTTGGTGTCTGAATAAAAGTATATATGGCACAATGTAAAAATACTCCACATGTAAAAAGCCCTGCAATGGAATATCTTCATAGTCATGCTGAAGTTAACTTAAAAAAGAAAGAAAGAAAGAAAAATCTAAACTTTGGTTCAGAATATAACTCTGGACTGCTTAAAGTAGAGAATTTAATATACTCATGTGATGTTTTGCAGGAAAGAATGGATGTCCTGAAATATTTGTTGTGGAAACATCTGTAAAATATTTTAATTTTTTAGTAAATACGTGGAATAGAAGTATAAATGCCACCAGACTTTATATAGCACACAAAATATTGTATTTCTTGAGAAAATGTCTTTATTTTGCTATTTGTTTTTTAATTTAATATAATTGTCTTTATTCTGTATCCAGAAGTGGCATAAAAGTTTCATTCAGTATTCATAATTATTCAGCCTCTAAAATCAGAACCTGCAAACTTTTCTTTTGTTTTTTTTTTACTTGGAAAAGTTGCAGTTTGTGTGACCCACTTGGGAGCTGTGTTTACAGAGTCAATATTACCCAATGCAAGCACTAAGGTTCATGCTGATTTGCACATTTGACCAATAAGACCGCTTCCTTTATTCTCAGCCATCAAATGTAGAGATATCACATAATACCTCTCATAATACATTTCATGTTTAATGATGCATGTTCGGTGGTGTAACTTTGGAAGATCCAAAACATGATTCTGGATGGATTTAATACTTAATGTAGCAACATTACTGTAGTACACCATCCTTTAATATTGGATAAGAAGAAGAAGAATATTTGCTGTATCTAGAAAGTACTTAGTATTTCTGGAATTAGGAGACATAATTTACCACTCACAATGAAGTAATCAAAACAAAATATTATTATTGTTAACTAATTAATCTAATTTTTACAGCTCTGCAGAGGACTGCACACCATCCTGCATCCACAGCCAAAGCCTGTGTAAGTGAAAACTGATCTGTTTTTTATTTTGCATCATCTGCTTTTCTTTCTTGCTTCTGCAGTGTTTTATTATCCAAATTCATTTTTATTCATGCAGTTTTTGTTCTGTGCTGCTGTGTCCATGTGCAACTTTAAATGTCTTACTTGGCTGAAGCAGGTAAAACTTAAAGGAACAATAGGAAACCTAAAATAATGATTTTTAATAACAGAATAAGGTCCAGTGAAGATGATGAGTAGCAGAAGTAGCTAAATTATCCCTTATATCAATTTTAAAGATAAAGGTTGGACGCATCCAACTTTGAAATTGGGCCAGCCATGAATAAAATTGATCATCTGAACAAAAAGCACATCTTTTCCATGCATCTTTCTTTTAAAAAAAAAAAAAAAAAAAAAAGCAAAATAGGAGGGAAAGAAATATTTATGCAGATTTTGCTCCCAGCTCTAGATATAATAACACATAATTGTGGAATAGGTGATTGCAAGTATTAATATTGCTATGGTTAAATTTACTTTACAACATGAGGAATTAGTCCAGCCATCTTATCAGGGTCTCTGATACAGTATTATTCACCATCAGCTGAGAAATCAATATGATACCCCTGAGTATTGAGAAATGTTTACATCTAAAATAAACCCATTCCACAAAGAGGACAGTTCTGAGTAGGGAAAGTTTGAGTGCACATTTTTAAGGTGTTATGCTGACCTTAGAGTGGGCTTGCAGAAAGTACCCCTAAATAATACAAGCAGGGAAAGTACAGATTGCAGGATGTTTATTTTTTTTCAGGTAATCAGCACAAATGTGTGACTTGGAAGATAAACTAGCAAAACTGAAATGTGTCCAAAGGTGAGTCTGCAGATTACACAAGTCTTTATTTTGAGAGATTAAAGTCCTCAAAATCAAGATAAGCTTACTTTATAGACTTATCTATGAAGTAGAAACTGATCTCCTGCCAAATAAAGTTGTACCTTATCAAATAGTTGTAATACGCTGATAACAAACATATTTCTGTGCTTTAGATTATCAGTTACATTTATCGTTATTATAATTTTGTATTTAACTTTATTTTAATAAATCATGACTACTTCCCATTCTAATCAGCAGGACGAAACAGTGTGATGATGTGGGTCATGATGCTCAGAGCGCACTTCACTGGACATCTGTGGGAGATGCATGGCAGGAACCTGGCACCGGTTGACTGTCTTTCTTTGGCTGTGTTTGTGCATGCATGGTAAGCATTTGTGAGGTTTTGTAGTTCTTCTTCTCTCCAGGTCTTCAGTTCCTTCACTTCCTTCCCACAGTACGTGAGTTTTTATGTTTTATGCAAACTTGGCATCATGATTGCCCCATACGTCCAGCTGAGCCATCATACTCCAGCTTTGTGACACAGGAGAAACAGGGTGAGGACACAGCCGGGGGAAAGAGGCTGTAGTGTTTGACTGGTGGAGGAGGAGGTGGTGTTGTGAATGACGACCTCCTTGTAAGAAAATCCATCACTCAGTGATACAGAGAGGGTCGGAGTCCAAGTAGCACCAGGCTGCCATTCAGTTTTTGTGGAATGTTTGTATTAATTGTAGGACTAAATCCCAGGAGGAGACACAGGAGTCCAGGTTAATCATTTCTGTGTATAAGCATCTCTTTCTATTGCTAGGGCGCGCAGTGTGTTTCTATTAGGTATACACTGGACAAATATTGCTCATGCAGCTGATCTGATGGGGTATTTGCTGCAAAGGTTGTTTATTTTCTTGCCCTGTTTTGTGTTATGAACCTAAAGAACTCAGATGAACCAGAAGAAATACAAATGAATGTTGTGGGCATCTGATGTATATAGTCTGGAATTGATCTTGAATGATTTTAGCCCTCGTTATCTGTCTTGTGAGTCTGCAGTTCAATCTGAATGTTGTGCTTTTGTTAATCTTTGCTGACACTTCACTCAGAACTGCTTGGGCCATGAATTGTCTTTCATTTGATTCAACAAAACTTTATTAATCCTAACAGAAATTAATTCATCATGGTGGTTAACTCCTGCCACACACACTAGAATTAAACATTTACTCTATAAAAAAAAATCAAAGAAGATTATTGCTGTCAGTCCCATTTTTAAAGGACTTTGAGGTGCTTGATAACACACCTGGCAACATACCTGTCCAGCTTTTGCAGGCAGGACCGTTTCTTGTTATAAGATCAGAAAACAGAACCAAATAAAATCGTCACACAGTTCTATATTTTTATATGTGGCTGTGAACATGAATTTGAACACCATTATTTGTCTTTGTAGCTTTGTGATTGAACTTTCTGAAGTGTAGGATTATTGCGAAGGCCTGCGTATCAGAGATTATTGTTCGCTAAGTCATTCTGACTGTGCTGAGTCAGAGGAGATAAGCTTATCATCCATGGCTGTTCTCCTAGAGTACACAGAGCAGGGGAATAACAAAGTACTGTAGTCTGCATAAACGGGTGAGCTTCAAGAGCAGATGCTTTGTTGTATTTTTTATGGTCATCTTTGTTTTTAAGGTTTTGTTCCACTGTGCATGCAATAACCCCTTCAGGTGCAGGTGAAATGCTGTGTGCTACTGTAAGATGTGAAGGCGTGTTCAAGGCAGGCGTTTGAGTGAGAGGCAACACTGGAGATAACTGTGACACATGAGCCAGGAGTGATTCATCTTGAGGCCCACACATGAGTACACTTTCAGAAAGTGTCAGTTTGCAGAAAAACATCCATCTCCTCCATCAGGAATCAGAGACATCGGGCTCCTCAGTTATTCATACTGTTATTACGTCACTGATAGAAATGGTGACTTTAATTGCACCTTCAGTAGAGATTGACATTAAAGTGGAAGGAAACATATTCAGAGCTGCTTCTCTGAGACCTGAACAGCCGTCATTCTGAATTGTTCCTGTCATACAGTCAACTCCAGGAGTTTTTGGGTAATGTCACCACACTGGAGTTTAAATAAACAATCAAGATGTTTAGGAATTTCAGCGATTTCTCTAAACAGATCCCCGTTTTCAGAGGCTCATAAGTGATTTTAAGACTCACAGGCACTTTCATGGTATATCATCAATTCATGATATACTTGGATACTCTGGATTTCACTCAAGTCTGAGGGCAGATGATGTCATGGTTAACCTGTAGAGAAATGATAGGAAGACTGGAGGATCATGCTGAAGTGAGTTACTCAGGTGTGTTTTGGGAAACTGGTGGCCAGTTATTGAAAGATTTATGGTGGCACCTTGCTTCTTTTTGTTCCTGGGCATTTTCAGATATTCGTATACTTTCCCCAGAATCTGTGTTTTTACACAATCTATTGCAGGTCTACAGAAAAGCCACTGAACCTCCATGCTAGGTTTTCATTCTGGGATACACAATTACATGCAAGGATCTTATATGAGCTAATTTGCATCTCTTCCTGTTATGAGCAATACTTAATGGATTTCAGTCAAGTTGTAGTAACTTGTTGTAACTTTTTGTTGATTGAGTTAAATCCATTTCATAAAGAGTACAAAAGAAAATGTGCAAAACCTGCAAGAGTCTAAAAACTCTCCAAATATGCATAAATATAAGTGGGTACTCCATGGAGGTCATAAAATTGGGACTCCTAAGGAACAAATCAAAGGTCAACACATCAAGCACCAACAGCATCTTCACTGGAGCTCCTATAAAGTTTTCAAACTCTGAAAAAGCTCCCCAGGGGACACAGAAGACTAAAATCCCAGTCTGAGTACTAGTTCATGTGATGTCCAAACTGAACTTTATGTCTAAACTCAACCCAAAAATGGCTCACTGTTTATTAACTGTTATTGATTCATTCTGAGAATGAGCTAAGAGGTAATCAGACAACTGGGGTCACCAGCCTTTTATGCAACAGACAAACCCTTTGAACAAACAAAGCCTGAGGGCTGCTGTCCTGCTGCGTCATTAAAATTTCAGCACCGATTAATCAACTCGGCTTCAGTGTGAAATTGATTTAGGTCATTGCTACTCGATGTGGGCTTTTAAACTGTTGCTCCTTTATTTGGAGGTACCAGAAATTCAGCAGGGGAAAAACACAATTTCTCTGACTGACTGACAAAGTGAAAAAGAAAATGCATGTTTTAAAGAGTTTCCTGCTCTGAAGATGTGACTTTGGAACACACAGTAATCTCAGACTTGCGAAACTTCTGATGGGCTTAACGATTTTCCGTGGGGGGGAAATGGTTTTAGCTGTTCTGTTTTAGTCAGCAATAAAATTTCCCTTCGCCCTCCTGTGTTTATTCACCCTTGTCCTTTACACAAAAAGCAGGAGGTGAAAGAATGATTGTCTCATACTGTATTATCCACACAGTGAGGGGAGCGAAACAGACTCAAGACTCCTCTTCTGTTTGCACAGCTGCACACTGTACTCTTTCACCTCTGACCACTGCCCCCCACACCAGGCACTGTTAATAACAATTTTCAGGTGTTGTCCAGGGATTTTTCTTTTGGAAAGATCTCATTCTAATCTATGAGTCACAGCAGTGGTCACATATTAGTTTAAAAAGACCAGACAACTGCTTCTAGGTGGGTGTGACAAACAATGGGGCGACTGTGGCTCAGGGGGTTGGGAAGCGTATCTGTAACCGGAAGGTCGCCGGTTCGATCCCCGGGCTCTCTGTCCTGGTCGTTGTGTCCTTGGGCAAGACACTTTACCCTACTTGCCTACTGGTGTTGGCCAGAGGGGCCGATGGCACGAAATGGCAGCCTCGCTTCTGTCAGTCTGCCCCAGGGCAGCTGTGGCTACAACCGTAGCTGCCTCCACCAGTGTGTCAATGTGAGAGTGAATGAATAATGGCATTGTAAAGCGCTATATAAATCCATTATTATTAATATGTCAACCCATTAAACTGGAAAGAACGCCTGTCACACAAGGAGGTGATGCAGGAGCATCAAGTCTTGTATTAACTGTGCAAAGAAAGATGTTTTGATTGATTGGACAAAATTTGAAGCCAACATTCAATTTGCAGCACATACAGCCCATTTTTTATCCTGACCAGTGAAACTCCCATTTCAGTTAGTAAAAAGAAGTTTACCTACACACTTGGCTGTGATGTCTTAACCCTTTCAGGCTCAAATTAAACTTTTTGTTGCTAATGCACAACCAAGTCCTGCAGTGGTACTTCTGAGTAAAAAAAAGCTCATAAAACATGTATGTGGGGTAACCAGGTTGTTAGTTTTTAACTGTTGCAAATCGGCAACGCCTGCCTCGAGAGGGTTAATAAAAGCAGCCATGTAAATTCAACAGTATATCTTAGTTTTTCTTTATGTTAAAGAAATGTTGTTTGGGCTTAAACTGCAAGAAATAAATACGCAAAATTAGACGTCTGGCAGCTCAGACTGTGCTCTAATTACAAAACAAAGCTTCTGTCAATTCAAAGATTTGATTTCAAAATTGCTTTTTGTGAACCCACTTTAAAAAACAACAAATTTTTTTAATAGCTGATGGAACTTTTCTGTCATTTAATTGTTTATCTGTCTCTTAATTACTTTGGCGTTGTATGAATGGCCATGGAGGAGACTTTATCAGCAAGAAAAATGAATGAAATCTAAATCTAATAAATCCATCTAAAAGTCCAAAATTCATGCCCTCCTTCATATTTTCCAAAGTCTTCCAGTGGACCAGATAGTGGATCTTTGCTGGGCTGCTTCTAGTCCCCCGGCCTTATGATTGTTACCACTGACATAGATCACTGTAACATTTTTAAGAAACATCACCTCTTTTCTTCCAGGACTGGATGCCTGAGTGAAAAACTTAAATACAGAAAAATCTCTGGGAAGGAAACAGCTCATACTCCACCACAGAAACCCCTGCACCAGTTAACACGTGCATGACTCCAAGTGACGAAACGCTACGTCCAGATGAACAGAATCAACTTTTGGAGATTTACTTACCTTGATGATTGAGAATGCATCAAGATACTTCCTAAAACTTTTTTTTTTTAATCTGAACAGTTAAAACTTAAAACACTGCTTATAAAATATTGGTGTCAGTGTCTTTTTGGTCTTAGTGGTCTTTTCACCTGCGTTCGGGGACCCCATGGTATTTAAGGTACGTTATCACCACCATCTGTCCATATTAAGAAACACAAACCTGCTCAGTCTGAACAGACACACAGAAAAGTCTTTAACAGCCTCAGCACAAAAAAAAAAAAATCTAAATACACCGCTCCAAAAAAATAAAATAAAATAAAAAAAAGTTACAGGAACACTTAAATCACACATTGGTTCTTGATGACAAAATATTCAGGCTGAAGGTTTTTACTGATACACACTGTAATTTGCTGAGAACAAAATTATGTAACAAAAGCCAGTGGAAACCAAAATCATCAAATCACAACAAAAAAGTTATAAATTTAAATCAAGAGTGATCAGACTAATCTGGCTCACTAATGTTTACAGCCTCAATGTGCCTCCATGCACTTGAGACATCTGGGTACACTCCTGGTCAGACAGTGGATGATGCCCTGGTTCATCTTCTCCCAGATCCTGGATCAGAGCATAAGTGAGGTACTAGATAATCTGTGGGACTCATAAATATTGTTCTAGGGCCATGATACCTATGCTTTTACCACTATGGCTACACACTGCCCACACGAGGCAAGGCATCACTCTGCACCAGCAAAAGATGTAAAGTGAATCTGAGGATTTCATCTCTATACCCAACTGCTGTTGGCTAACACACGGAGGTCTCTATGCAAGGAAATCCCACTTGAGACCACCACTGCCCAACCTGTCATACTAGATAATGTTGCAGAAAACATTCACCACGACATCTTCAGACTCTTTCATGTTGTTTAAAGGTGGTCTGCTCTCATCTGTGAAGAGAACAGAGCACCAGTGGCTAACCTGCAAGCTCTGGTGTTGTCAGGCCATCACCAATTGAGCTGCTCGGTGCTGTACTGTGAGCACACGTCCTACTAAAAACTGCTGGGCATTCATGCCACCCTCAGGTAGTGTTTCTATCAGAAACATGCTCAAGTATTCCAGTGGAAGTCATTTTGTAGGGCTTTGGCAGTGCTCCTCCAGTTCCTTCTCGCATCAAGAACCAGATACCAGTCCTGCTGCTGAGCTGATGCCCCCTCTGTGGCTCTGTCTAGTTCTCCTTGTGGAATAACCCATCTACACCTTCAAGGCTGTACTAGGAGACAGAAAACTTTGCAACTGCTTGTTTGCATATGGTATCACAGAAGAGCTGGACTAACTGGTATCATTTCATGCTGCCACTGATGGAAAGGGCACTTCCAAAAAGGAGAACTAGAGGAAAATCAGTCAGGAGCAATAGTCTGTGGCCTTCCCTGCGCAGGGGGGAGTTGCCTGTCCAGTGCAGCTGTTGTTACTTCATTTGGACCAAACCAGGTGGAATGGATCCCCATTGGGAGCTGTGGTTACCAACTGAAAAGTTTAACCATCTGTGTTATACTGTGATGATCAAGTGTTCCTGTCATTTTTTTGAGAAATGTGCATTACACATAAGATGTAAAATACTCTTACTGGTTTCACCGAGGCTCCAGGAATAAAACATGTCAAAACGTAGTATGGACACACTAAAAATGCTTAATCTTTAAAGTGAGGTGCACTACACATTTGTGTTCTCAGTAGTTCCAGCTGAATCTGAAGTTATTTACTCTGTTAGCTGTTCAAGCGTTTGGGGTTTTAACTTTAAATTAAAGCCACACAAACGATTCAAAATAATAATAATAAAGAAAAAGATGAAGCAGAACCTCTCTTTTTGTTTTCTGGTGGTTATATTTCAACATCAGCATATTTTCTTGGCAGCATATAAAAAAAAGAAAGGAAACAATGACTACATCGAAATATCAGTCTCTCTAAGCCATCTCTGTACAGTGTAGGTGTGACTGATGAGATGTACCACCTTTTATTCATTCCCTTCTGTATCAAAAGACACATTTTCACGACTTTGTAATTTTTGGACCTGGCCTCTTAGCGCCCCTGCCTTCCAAATAATTACAACTGTTTCAACAATGACCGAGTGAGAGACCAAATTTGGGTCAAAATAAACAAGAATGAGCCTCCCTTTACCTGTCCCAGGTAGAGAAAATAACAAGAAGAGCTAGAAAATAAACTCTGACTGATTTAATGTCCTTTCTGAGAGGTAAGTCTCTTTGTACAAGTCCCTTGTGGCCCATCATCAATTAGTGATCTATTATTTGTGTTTTTTTCTTCTTTTTTCATTTTTTAATTGAAGACGAGCTATATGATATATATTCTGTTCTGATATGCCTCAATGTTGAAAGCTAAATGAGGCTTGCCTCAGAGCAGAGTATATAGTTTATTAAAAACATTAAAGACTGCTGGCATCCATTAAACCTTACTGGCCAATTGTAGAGCACTACAAAGGTATTAGGCTGTCAGTAGAGACGTCAGTATTCGGACTAGTGGAGTGGCGGTGAAAGTAGCCCATCCACCCTTATCTGTCTTGGCAAAAACCAGGGCCACCTCCAGAACAAAAGGTTATGGGATCAAGGCCAGTAACATCATCCCACATCATTGGTGAAAGGGTGAGGTCTACCAGAGATACAGACAAGCGAAAAGTGAGTGTGTCTGGAAGGCTAGTTCCTCTCCTGCACAAATACAGTCTCCTGTGGACACAGCCCTGCCTCCTGCAGCGTGATGTCATAGTCCAAGTGGGCGAGCTTCCTTCTGGGGAAGTTGGTGACGAGTTCGAAGCGTTCGTTAGGATAACCCTTAGACTGGACGTGTCTTACCAGGGCCTTAAAGAGAGAGTATAATTTGGAAGGTAGGGGAAAAAAAGATTAAAAAAAAATGTTGCCATGTTTATTAGGCATTATAAACATGTACTACTGTTTATTTTACTTGAATATCAGCGATTTTGGGGTTCACTCACCAAAAGTTTTGCTTTAGAAGACAATGAAATTTGCTCTCTCTGTCCATCAGGGTAGCGGAGCATCAACCTGGCTTTGGGACCTATTAAAAACAAAACAGTTACTAAGATGATGCTGTCAGAACTGAAAAGCCACTATACTTAAAAATGCCAGAACACACTGGTCAAAAGGCATAAAAACACACATCACATAGATAAACAATGGATTGATCTTTGAATTAACAGCTACGACTGTGTGCGCTTGCATTAAACTTGCATTCTATTTAATGGTCAGCAGAGGGCGACTCCTCCGACTCAGTCCTATAGCAGCCTTGTCACGCTCCGCTTTCACACTATTAAGCTGTCAGTAGAGACGTCAGTATACGGACTAGTGGAGTGGCGCTGAGGGTGGCAACGGGGGAAAATGCTCGGCTTGAGGCTTTATGACAGGACTTTACTAAACAATAGGTGACATCACAGAAGATACATTCATTGCTTTTTCTGTCTATGCTCCAGAACTACAACCACTAGAAGGTGCCCGCACACAGATATTACACCAGACTATAATTAGACAAGATGAGTGAAACCACTAACATACTTATCACTTGGGTCCCGCCAAGTAAAAACAACACACAACCACCACATTCTGCAAGGGATGTGACTGTAGAAACCGTCAGAAAATCTAGTGCTTAGTACCAGTCTTCACTGGTCATATATGGTACACATTTCGATTGAAATCTTCACACACACTCCAGCAATAAAACTAATGCTAAATCCAGCCAAAGGGACCAAATAGTATAGTAGGATTAAGGGTCTGTCTACATTCAGCTGACTAGGACTGACTTCACGGCCATCATTGATCTAAATGGAGTCAGTCCAGCAGCACCCACTTATGTGTTGGCATAAGTGGGCTCTTAAGACACCTTAAGGCTTTAATACCCTGAGCACGTTGAAAAAAGCTAATTTTTTTGGATCCAAACTTGTGGTGTAACGCAGATGCACACTGAAAGCATTGCAGTTTGCAGAAAATTCGCCTGAAAAAAAAGTGACGTGAAAAAGATGACATCAACATCAAGCAATGATGATGATGGTCCTGATGTTTCTAAACACGAACATCATCAAATTCATCATGAGAAGACAGTAGTAGGGACAATTTCATGGTTTGATCAAGGAGCTGAAGCAGCACCACGACCGCTTCTGTAAATATCTCAGGATGTCAGCGGGACAGTTTGAGCTGTTTTTGAAAGAGTTGGAACCACAACTGAGGAGGGAGAGAAATAATTTCAGAGAGCTGATTGACCCGGAGCAGTGTCTAGCGCTGTGTCTGTGGCTAAACAGCATTATTTTACGATTTCCAGATCATTGTATATTCAGTACTGATGCACTTTGAACTACAGTGCAGTAGTCTGTCTGGGCAGATCTGTTTATTTTTCCAAATGTGAATAAAAGTCACAAATTCATGCAGTGAAATAAGTTGACACTGAAGAATAGATGAGCCCTAAAATTAACTTTTAGTGCACAAAATATTCGGAAAGAGTTTGCACATCCGCAAAGGCCTTTAGACTTTTGTTTTTTTAAAGCAAACTTGCTGCTCACCTTATTATGGTTGCATCGAAAACAGACATATAGACACACGCACACTCATGAAACCTAAAATACTTTTCATTTGTCGTACCATTGTCCTCAGGACAGTCCACATCACAGGTTGTGGTGGTGCTGATCTTTGAAGTTCCTGCGCTTTCAGGTAGTGGGGCGCAGTGATTCCCACCAGAGTCTGAATCAGGCTGGGGATGACGAGGCCCGGGAGCCGAGGGCTCCAGGTGGTTCTTTTTGCTCTCCTCTTTCTTGTGACTGTGGTTGTTTTCTTTGTACGGTGATTTTCTGTAGGAAGAAGTGGAGCTATCAGGATGAAGACGCTGCTGGGCTGCAGTGGCTGCAGAGGGGGTCGCAGTGTGTTTGCCGGTCGAACTTTTCTCTTCATGGGGTGCTGGCGTCTCGCTGTCTGAGCCGTCAACAGAGAAAGGCCCTTCGCTGTCAGAGAAAGGCTCTGCATCAGATTCATCGTCTGATCGAGGAGAATCGGGGGGTTCGGGGACATTTGAGGACTCGTAGTGGGTCTCTTGTAGAGAAGCTCGGATTGCTGCCTCCAACTG